CCTCAAAATCCTCATCATGAGAAAAGGAAATAGTAATTCTAATAATAAGTATGGACCACAGTGGTGGATAAAAAGTGCACTTTTTACTTTGCATATGTCTTTTTAGCTTGGGAATGTTACATCCACTTTCGAAGTAGCTTTCAAAACTTCTCATCATTTCATCCACCATACCCTCAACTAGCATTTTCAATGTCATATACTCATTGTCTATTTCTTCCATTTTGCACTGCTATTCATCAAATTTTCAATAGTCAACACTTTTGATTGTTTTATTATTGGCTATTGTTTTGGTTTAATTATGATCGGTATTTAAAATTCAATTCGAATTCGCTTCGAGTTTAAAGAATGAAGTATTGCGAATGAGATACACGAGTTTTTCCTTTCTATTATGCTAGTGTCACTGGGGTGGATGCACCATATATTGGTTTACTTCTTATCCTGAAAATTTTCTGTCAGTGAATTGATAATAAATCACAATTCGAACCCTTCTTCAGTTCTTCCTTATAAATGAAGAAGATGGGCAGGTCGAATTAAGAGGGAACACACTGCATATAGGTAGATGGAAAAGAAATGCACAAACTTTTGGAGGAAAATGGACCGATTGAGAACCCGTTTGACCAAGTTTTCTCAAGGCTAAAAGTTTTTTAAAAAAAGTATTTTTTTAAAAATTTAAGGTGTTTGGCTTAGACGGAGAATTACTTTTGAGCAATAGCAGAAATAGTTTTTCAACTTTTAAGAAGAAGCTATAAATTCTAACTTCTTCCAAGAAGCTAGAATATTAATTCAGAAGCAGAAAATTAATTTTTTATTTAATTATATTTTTATTCTCTCTCCTATTACATCCAAAGTCTCTCTACTACAAATATATTTCTTCTTTTATATAGTAGTAATCTATGGAGTAGATTTTTAATTTATAATGAATGTGTTAAGAAATGCAGCTCAAAGTAACAATATATAACAAGAAGATAAGTAATATAATAAGAGAAGAAGAGATAACTTTCTTATTTCACCAAGTGTTCAAGTGTGTCCCGTATCACATTTCATGCCTCTATTTATANGGTTATGGAGGTGTGGGAGTTACAATCATAATAGTGATAAGTAGTGGGAGGTTATTTATATCATGTGTGAAAGTAGTGGGAGTAGTGGACATCCATATTTACTACTAGTTTTACAACACTCCCCCTTGAATGTTCATAAATAGATAATATACCTCGTTAAATTCTTACTGAGAAAAAACTCTGTGGGAAAAAATCTTACGCTTTATTTGCTGCCTCATTAAAAACCTTACCAGGAAAACCCAGTGAGACAAAAGTTAGGCTAAGGGAAAAAGAGTACAACACGTATCTTACTCCCCTTCATGAAAATATCACTTTATTTCTCGAAGACGACGTGTTCCAATCTTCTATCTCAGCTTCTCAAATGTTGAGGTTGGTAATGCCTTAGTGAACAAATCAGCCAAATTTTCACATGAACGTATATGTTGAACATTAATTTCACCATTTTGTTGAAGATCATGCGTGAAAAATAAACTTCGATGAAATGTGCTTTGTTCTGTCTCCTTTGATGTATCCTCCTTTCAGTTGAGCAATGCAAGCATCATTGTCTTCATATAGTGTAGTTGGATTATCCTTTTTCATAGAAAATCCATACATTTCCTGAATATGCTATGTCATTGATCTCAACCAAACTCATTCCCGACTAACTTCATGAATGACTATTATCTCAGCATGATTTGAAGAAGTGGAAGCTATTGTTTGTTTCATTGAATGCCATGATATATTTGTACCTCCATATGTAAACAAATAGCCTGTTTGAGATCGGTCTTTATGTGGATCAGACAAATAACCTACATCGACATAACCAATCATTTATGACTTGAATTTATTAGAATAAAACAATCCCATATCTATAGTTCCCGGAAGATATCTAAATATATGTTTAGCACCATCCAATGTCTTCTTGTTGGGGGAGGAGCTGAATCTTGCTAATAAGTTTACTGCAAAAATAATATCTGATCAGGTATTATTGGCAAGATACATCAGTGCTCCAATTGTACTAAGATATGGAGTTTCATCACCAACGAGCTCTTCATCATTTTCTTGAGGCCGAAATAGATCTTTATTTATGTCAAGCCATCTCACAACATCAAGGAACTCAATAGATGTGCATTATCTATATAAAATCGTTTTAAAATCTTTTCAGTGTATGTTGATTGATGGACAAAAATTTCATTTGTTACATGCTCAGTTTGTAGGGCAAGACAAAATTTTATCTTACCAAGATCTTTCATCTCAAATTCTTTCTTCAAACACTCTACGACCTTTGGAAGCTATTTAGAAGTGTCAATAACATTCAAGTCATCAACATACATAGCTATGATGACAAATTCAGATCTAGACCTCTTAATAAAGACACAAGGAAAAGTAGGATAATTTTTGTACCCTTTCTTTAGCAAATACTCGCTAAGACAATTGTACCACATCCTCCCTGATTGCTTCAATCCGTATAAGAATTTTTGAAGCTTTATTGAACAAGTTTCCCTTAAACTTTTATGTGCTTCAGGAACTTTAAATCATTCAGGGATTTTCATATAAATTTTATTGTCCAATGAGTCATATAAGTAGGTTGTGACAACATCCATCAACCGCATATCAATCTTTTCATGGATTGCCAAATTTATTAGATACGTGAAGGTAATTGCATCTACCACAAGAGAATATGTCTCCATATAATCAATGGCAGACCTTTGCAAAAACTCTTGTGCCACAAGTCATGCTTTATATCTTGCGTCTTCACTTTTCTCATTTCGTTTTCGCACAAAAACCCATTCGCACCCCACTGGCTTGACACCTTCAGGTGTTCGGACTATTGGTCTGAAAATTTCACGTTTTTCGAGTGAAGCCAATTCCTCTTGAATTACGTTTTTCCACTTTGGCTAATCTTTTTTCTGTCTACATTCATCGATAGATTTTGGCTCAAGATCCTCATCTTGTTGCATTACTTCAACTGCAACATTATATGTAAAAGTGTTGTCAACAACAATATTATTTCGGCTCCACCTGTTTTCGTAGAGACATAACTTATTGAGATCTCTTCATTTTCATAATTTCTAGGAACTTGAACTTCCCGTGAGGTCTTATCAATTGTTATGTCTTTATGCTCTTCTTGAGCAATTATCTACACATTATGATCAACTTGATCATTTGCTCCTTTCCTTTTTCGGGAAATTTTATCCTTGGAAACTATTGGTCTACCACGTTTAAGGCATGGCCTACTGGGACATCAACTCGAATTGGAGCATTTACAGCTGGAATATGCGATTTAGTAACCCGTGAAAGGTTAGTAAATGCATCTAGCAGTTGGTTTGTAATATTCTGCATATAAATGATCTTTTGAACTTTTTATTCACATCGATTTGTACGAGGATCTAAATGAGATAAGATAATACATTCCAATCTATCTCTTTTTCAGCTGTTTATTTTTTCCCCCTAATGTTGGAAAAACTGATTCATCAAAATGACAATCAACAAATTTGGCTGTAAATAAATCTCCTATCATAGGCTCCAGATATTTAATAATAGAAGGAGATTAATAACCAACATATATTCTCAACCTTCTTTGTGGACCCATCTTTGTATGCTGTGGTGGAGCAATTGGAACATATACCGCACATCCAAAATATTTTAGATGGAAAATATTTGGCTCCTGACCAAAAATCAATTTTAATGGGGAGACTTCATGATAACTGGTTGGCCTTATACGCACAAGTGCTACTGTATGCAAAATAACATATCCCCACGCTGAAAGAGAAAGTTTTGTCCTCATTAGTCATGGTCTAGCTATTAATTGGAGGCGTTTAATCAACGATTCTGCTAGACCATTTTGAGTATAAACATAAGCAACTGACCAGTGACCATACAATAATCAGTAAAGGCCCTGAGATGTAAATTTACCAGCATTATCAAGATGAATTGACTTAATTGCATAATCTGAAAATTATGCTCTTAACCTTATTATTTGTGCCAACAATCTCGCAAATATCATATTACGAGTTGACAATAAGCACACATGTGACCATCTTGTAGATACATCTATCAAGACCATAAAATACTTAAATGGTCCACATGGAGGGTGTATAAGCCCACATATATTACCCTGTATACGTTCCAGAAATGTATGGGATTCAATCCCAACTTTAGCTACTGATAATTTAATAACCAATTTTCCTTGAGAACAAGCAGCTCAAGAGAATTCCTTAAATTGAAAAATCTTCTTGTTCTTCAATGTGTGCCCATTTGAATTCTCTATTATTCTGCTCATCATGTTAGAACCGGGATGGCCCAACCGATCATGCCAAATGATAAAATCATTTGAAGTAGTAAACCTTTTGTTTACTATGGCATGTGATTCAACCACACCAATATTTGTATGGTACAACCCAGAAGAAAATGCGGGTAATTCTTCATGCACATATTTTTTTCCCGCTTTTATTTTAGTAATATAAAGGTATTCAACCTTTCCTTCGTTAGAGGTCTCAACATGGTATCCATTTTGGCGAATAGCTTTGAAACTCAACAAGTTTTTTTGAGATTTACTACAATACAATGCATTATTAATAGTCAATATTGTTCCTTCAGGTAGTAATAAGGCCGCTCTTCCAGGACCCTCAATTAATTTTGTACTACCAGATGTTGTATTAACAAAAGCCTTTTTCATAACCAAATAAGAGAAAATTTTCTTATCTCTTAATATTGTGTGAGTTGTAAGGCATAAATCTTCATTACTCATCTTGGATCCAATTGAAGACTGGAGAATTTTATTTTCTTCAACAACAACAATAACAATCCAGTGAAATTTATTTTATTCATAAACAACTCCAACAACAACATAAAATAACTTAAGTACTACTTGAAAATAAAAACAACTTTAGAACGAGACAAAAATAATATTGAAAATAAAAATAACAACATAGTTGCATTCCCCGCTAAAATGATCAAACTTTACTTTTGATCCCTAAAGAAGTCTTCAACATTAAAATGAGTAAGATCATCGATGCCTTCAAAATCATCATCATTCAAAGAAAGATTTGCCTCGGTATTATCATCATTTTTGTTTGAAGGCACTGCCTTAAAATCATTTTTAAAGGTTACGTGAGACTCCACTGAGGTATTAGTAGAAGATGCTCCAATATTATTTGCCTTTATTTTGATGGAGTTTTGATAAAGCCTGACAAAATGCTTAGGTGCACGACATTCAATTTTCCAGTGACCTTTCATGTCACAGCGGTGGCAGTTACTGCTTTTGCCTCTTGAAGGATTATTTTGAGAACCCATATTGTTCTCTTGTTTGCCATGACCACCACGTTGACGATTATTATATCGTCTCTTACTATTGCCATTCCCACGTACATTCATATGGCCATGATAATTATTCTGTCTTTTTCCAGATTTATCACATTTCACTACCATATTCGCGTCAGGAATTGGAGCTGACCTTGTGGGACGGGCTTCATGATTTTTCATCAAAAGGGTATTATGTTGCTCAGCCACTAGAAGGCATGAGATCAATTCAGAATACGTTTTAAAATCCCTTTTATGATATTGCTGCTGTAATACCATATTTGAGGCATCAAAAATTGAGTGTCTTTTCCAACAAATCTTCATCATTCATAACATCCCCACATAATTTTAATTAAAAATTTATTCGAAATACAATATAGTTATACTCACTTACGGTCTTAAAATCTTACAACCGTAAGTGCATCCACTCATATCGAGTCCTTGGCAAAACCGTTACCTTAAAGTGATCATACCTTTCCTTCAGGCCAGTCCACAATTCAAGTGGATCTTTCACTGTCAAATATTCAACCTTCAAACCTTCATACAAATGATGACGAAGAAAAATTGTCGCATTCTCTTTGTCCTGGCTCGATGCCTCTTTACCCTGAGTAATGGTGTCACCAAGACTTTTAGCGTCTAAGTGAATCTCTGCATCGAGAACTCATGATAGGTAATTATTTCTAGATATATCAAGTTCCACAAATTTAAGTTTTGACAAATTCGACATAGTGAAAACTATCCAAGAAAATAAACTAATTGGAAATGATTAAGATAATAGTGAAAATAAATAAATGGATATAGATATTGCGAATGTTTAAATTGTGTTGTCATAATACATATAGTGGTAATGATGACCTTAATCTATTTATTAGTACTTATATAGATTTCAGAACGTAAAGTTACGTATTTTATCAAACAACAATTTCTATAAACGAAGACAAAATATTGATAATAATATAGGTTTAAGGTGATGGCTTATAACGCCAATAACTAGCAATCTATAATGTTTGCCACAGTGTTGTGTGATTCATATTGATTCGTAATTGCCACTAATTATAAAACGGCCGACTCGATGGTCGTTTTGAACTCTAGCGCGTTGTTCGCCGGTTTGATGCCTTGAGTAGCTTCACTTCAGGTATTATGACTTGTACGTGTTGTCGGAATTGAATTTCGGGAAGTTCAAGGTTGATTTAGAAAGAAAATTCTACTTTCATAAGCTTTAAGTTGGAAGAATTGACTAAAGTTTGACTTTTGAGTAAACGACCTCGGAATCAAGATTTGAAGGTTCTGATGGGTTCGTATGAAGATTTCAGACTTGGGCGTATGTTCGGACTGAGTATCGGATCACCTGGGAGCATTTCAGCGCTTATTATGGAATGATGGCATTTTAAAGGTTTAAGTGGTTTGAAGTGGGCTGTGGTGTTATCGATATCCGTTTGGGATTCCGAGCCTTGGAATGGATTCGTATTGTGATTCATGGCTTGTACGCAAAGTTTGGCATCATTCCGGAATATTTTGGTATGATTCAGACGCGTTCGTCGAAGTTTGAAAGTTCGAAAGTTAAAGAAGGATTTCGATCGTCGATTCATAGTTTTGAGGTTATTTGGCGTGATTTGAGGCCTCGACTAAGTTTGTAATGTATTTTGAGATGTGTTGGTATAATTGGTTAAGGTCCAGAGGGCCTTGGGTGGATTTTGGATGGTTAACAGATCGAGTTTTGGACTAAGGGAATGCTGGGATTTTTTTGGTTGCTGGTGCGATCACTTCTGCGGAAGCTGGGTCGCAGAAGCGAGGATCGCGCCGCAGAAGCGACTGGGAGTAAACTGGGCAGAGGTCGCAGGTGCGAAGAAATTCCCGCACCTGCGTGATCGCATATGCGACCACTCGAGCGCAGATGCAGATTTTGCTGGGGAAGGCTGGGACCGCAGATGCGGTCGAATTCCGTAGAAGCGAAGGCGCAGAAGCAGATATTGTTCCGCCGAAGCGACGCCGCAGAAGCGGCCATTGGCTTTGCAGATACGAAGGTCACCTGGGCAGATTGTATAAGTTAGCCAAATCGTGTTTTGGGTCATTCTACCTCTCTTCTCTCATTGGAGCCGGCCTTGGGGGCGATTTTGGAGTGCCATTCTTGTCATCCTTCAAGAGGTAAGTGATCTCCAATGTTGTGAGTTAAATGCATAATTTACATGTGGATTTAAATATGGAAAATTATACAATTGTGGGATTTTTGAAGAAACCTAAAAATTTGGTAATTTTGGATTTTTACCACGAATTTGGACATGGAATTAGGAACAAATTATATATTTGAGTTCGTAATGTTATAGGTAATGTTTATCTTCAAATAGTTTCGGAATCAGGGCACCTAACCTGTGGGATGACTTTATTGACTTTTCGAGCGGAGTTGGAAATTGTTATAAATTGTAAGCCTTGGAATATATTTTGATTGATCTGCACTTTGTTTGACTAGTTTGGGAACGTTTGACTTGGAGATGAGTGTTAGAGTGGTGTTGGAGTCGGTTATGGAACTTCAGAATGAGGTAAGTCTCCTGTCTAACTTTGTGAAGGGGAAACTACCCCTAGGAGATATTTATTGTTATGTGCAACTAGTTGTGGGTGCTACGTACGCATGGAGTTATGAGAGTCTGTACGTAACTAAAGCATGTTTATGTCCGGTTGACTTGGGATCTTATCATGTAATATTTGAATTATTTGAACTCATTCTGCTGGCTTAATTAATTGAAGTTTTAATTAAAATTGATTTAGGAATAAATATATGTATACTAGGCCGAACCTTATTACTTTGAGTAGTGGGCGATTTGTTTGGGAAACGGTAAAGATTATATTCACTTTATGCTCATGTACTGTATTGTAAGCATGTGTCTCATAATTCGGTAACTTCTTTCCTTTCTTGTGGAGCGGGCCGAACGCCTCGGCAGTATAATAGAGCTTCTATGGTTAGTGTTGCTCGACCCTCGACAGTGCATACATTATTCTAGATCGGGCCGAACGACCTTAAAAGAACCGTACGTTATAACGCCAGCAGTCCGAATATTCACGAGATAAACCTTCCACTGATGCCCGACATTTTATGGTATTCCTTATTTATTTAAAATTGAAGCTTGGCATTTTTCTGAGCTATTAAGGTAGAATACCAGATCGAAAAATTTATACTTTAAAAGTAATATTTGGAAGATTATGAAATTTACAGATTTACCCCACTATCGTTGTGCACTTCATATCCCTTATGAATTATTATATTCTTTCATTGGACCTCTAATAAGTATCGATGTCGACCCCTCGTTGATGGTAGACTATTATCTCATGTTTTAGTCGATTATTACATTCCAATTTACTGCACTTTAGTTGAGTTTGAGCTTTAATCGCTAGTGTTTTACACTAATTATGTGTTTTATGCCTTGTATGAGTGATTCCGAGCTATGTAGATATTATGGAATGAATTCAAGTGATTTGGAGCTTTGAAGTCTGAGTAAAATCCCATGTAATTAAGCCGCAATCATGTTCATGGATCAACGGTTAATAGTGGAACGAAACGAAGAATCGAGCACGGATATTACGTAGTGTCTAGTAAAATGCACGTAACTTTTCATTCGGAATTCCATTTGGGATCCACAATATATTTTGAAAGGCTAATTCAAAGGACTACAACATTCATGTTTTATGTATTTTCACATACCCAACAGAACAAGTAGGAAAGTGCACGGCAAGTGTGAGGCCGCGCACTGACCGCGCATATGGGGTAGAACAGTGTGAAAAGTGCGCGCACTTCCAGGTGCGCGTCCACGCACGTCCAACTCCGAAAAAGTGTCCTTTTTCACGTAGGAGAAGGTGTATTTGTGCCCAACCCTACTTGGTATATATACATAGAAAAACGGTATTTTGAGGACTTTTGACATAATTTAGACCTAAGGAAGCTAAGGAGAAGAGGGAGAAGCAAGAGCACAAGGATTTCACCATTCATCTTCACTCAGGACAAGAGTTTAGATGTTTTATGTTTTCCTTCGACTTAAACTTAATTGTGATGAATTTCTCCATATCCATGGAGTAATTCTTCCTTAGGGATTGATGGATTTGGTGTTTTGAGAATTGTTTGTGGATATTAACTCTAGTTTTATGTATTGAGGCGTTTTGAGTATTTTTATTGTTGCATATATATTCACTTGTTTATGTAATCGAAAAGGCATAATTTTTGATATTTTGTATTATCTTATTGGTTGAATTCATTAATTCTTGTTAGTAATCGAAAGAGGCTAGTTGAATTAATGTTTAGACCTAGTTAGGAGGATTAATCGAAAGAGGTTCTCCTAAGGATTAATCCACTACGAATTCTTGCATATCTTCACTGAGCTTAACTTAGTTTATATTGTGAGGTTGAGACATAATCGAGAGAGGAGTTTCTAATAAACGTTGAACTAATAATTGAGTGAATTCGAGAGACTCACTTGAACCTTAGAAGTGAATTGACTAGAGTTAATTCCCGAACAAGTATCTTACACCTATCCAATTAGCCCCTATTTTCCTCCATTGATATATTCCTTGCTTACTTTTGTTCGATTGTCATTAGTCAATTAGCTCTAGATTCTTAGTTAATTTTAGTTTTAATTAACATAATTCTCAACTGTTGATCATCTTAGATAGCAATTAAACTAGAAGTTATGAAAATAATGTTTAAATACAATCCATGTGGATACGATATTTTCTATACTATATTTGACTAGCAAGAATAATTTTATGTTGTGTTTTTAGATCGTCAAATTTTGGCGTCGTTGTCGGGGATTGACAATCAACAATGTTTGAAATAATTTGTGGTTCTAATTCAGGAATTGAGTTTTAGTTTTTTTTCTTTTTCCCTTTCTATTTTATTTTCGTTATCAGTTAACTTCTTTTCAAGATTTATTTTGTAGTACCTAAAAAGTTGGAGAAGATACTGTAGATATTGAACTCTAAATGGTGTGAAGATGGTGTACAACCAGCCTAAGAAAACGGTTGATGAGTTAGCAGTTGAATATTATCAGTGGTCTGCTATGCGTTTTAAATGCAGTGGAAATCATCTATGGGCTGACCGTCAAACAAGTATGTATTCTTCCTATGGTTCGTATTTTGAACAGTCTCACTCTGATTCTAGTTCGTACAGGTATGAGAATTCAAATGGGCACAATCTTGACTCTGGTTGGGATGAATACCCATATTATAGTGAAAGCGAAGTGAGACAACCACCTCAAGGGGAGAATAATAGTTTGGAAGAGCTTGTGTATAAGTTC